TACCTCTCAACTTGTAAATATGTGATTTACAGTACTTGCAATCCAGCCCGAAACGGAAAACTGAAATAGATTTCGCACAAATACAAACTAGGCTGAAGACCCACAGGGATGCAACGATACGCTGATAGTTATTTTAGAACAGTAATTTTTCATTGGCAGCCAATGGAAAAAACGAGCACTAACTCTCAAACCATCAGAATTTCATGGGCCACTCAACCGACAACAGCAGTGAACACTTTAGAAAGTGCAGCCCTATCTCTTAATAAGTCTTGAACAAATTCAAGAAAAGACTTCGGTGGATTTTGTATTCGTTTTCGAATAAAAATGCCTTTCTCATGCGAGCATCGAGGCAGAGCGTGCATGGGTAGCAGGCAACCTGGCTGCGGTGCGCAGTTTGAGTAGGTAAGAAAGTCCAGACTCCAGAGCCTAAGAAGGGGTACGCCTGCGACAGGAGAACACTCAGAACACCGCTGATTAGTTTCTGAATCGTTACTGAAGATATCTACTGATTAAACAGAAATCTACCGGTGTTAAACGGGATCGAACTCGTCCCAGTTGCGCTAAAGCCGTGCGATTAACCAATGAAACCACACTGACTGCATTAGTATTAATTTTATCTGAAGTTATTTCGACATCTGAAGTTGTTTTGCCGCATTAAAAAGTCACTGCTTCTTATGTGCAAGCTGGCATTTGATCTTGTTCCCTACGGTGAAAAATTTTTCAAGTTTCGAGGAAAAGTTGATGCCGTTTCCCATTGTGTTGCAGACAGAACCCGTCAAGCAACCGCCCTGGATGAGCATCCCTATGCAATGGAACCTACGACTCTACGAGGACAGTCTCTTCGGATGGCCGAACATTCCTAAGTGAAAGGAGCTTCGCATTCCTTATGGTGCAGCTTCGGAACGAAATTAAAATTCCCGTGGAGTCGTACTCGAACATCGCTGCTTTTTGTTCCAGTTTGGACCGTGTCGATTGGACAGCTTTAAAGTGGACTAAACGTTTTGTACAATACATGCTGACCACCGTTCTTTACTGTAAAATAATTTGCATTGCTGTTAGTTTTATTTTACGTAGTGCTTTTATTAGTATGAAAGCACATTCTTTTATGGTAGTCTACTAGCCGTTTCTCGGTTTCCAGTGGATAGCGCCCTGCTTATGATGGTTACGAAATGTTGTGTGACCTGTGGATACTGAATTAGGTGATTTCGAACTTGAAAATCAATAGAACGCACAGTATTCTGTATCCATAAAGAAAACAAGACGCAAATGATATCCTAACTTAGTCGGCACTGGCCGTTTCCTGCGTGATGTTATCAAATCTTCCACCGCCACCGTACAGACGCAGCACCGTTTACTGTTGTGCAGAAGCCGTTTTTTATGGATCGCCGAAGTCACTTTACAGCCTTTACTGATATCGTTGCATCTTACTGCCCGATGTGGCCGTTATGTTACTTAATTAGCTTTTTAAGTGTAGCTTTTTTTTCAGGTCTTTTTCTCCCTATGCGGTTAACTGCTGGCGCGTTCTTAGTTAGGTATGTATATTGTGTAAGCATCCTGGATATTCTGCCTTCGCTAATCATGTTTTACTACAGGCACACCGGGATTTATTTATCTTTTGATAGGATGGTTGCATAGCGCGGTAAAATCTTAAGATAAAACCGCGATCTACCGCCTTTTTAAGACAACGTTTCAGTCTAGCTGTAGTCTGTGAAAATGCAGCAGCTGTCTTTGGTACACTGCCCGCACGTCCGAAGGCGACGAGTGGTTTTAACGATTTTGGATGTTTTTTTAATATTTAAATTCGATCGTTTTATTAGCGCAGGTATGTCGTCATGTATACTGGCTTTTGTTTGTTCGTTTGTTTGTTTAATCAGTAATGTCTACCACAATCAGGACACTCCGAAAAAGGCGCCAATGGGGGAATCGAACCCCGGCTACGTCGTTAGATCCGCGTAGGCAGTACCACTGCACCACGGCGCAATACGTTGGAATTATTTGAAAGATTTTGTCGCTGTACGTGAGCCGCTTCTCCGCTCACACCATGATAGCTGTATTACATCTTTATTGGTCAAATCGAACACAAGACGTAATGTATCAAAACATATTAGAGTAATACAAGTAAGAGTTACAACAGGTAACTCATTTAATTTATCCACATCACCAACGGTCCGAGTACAGATGCCGCGTTCCTCTTTGAATTTCAAGCGACAATCGTTGGCGCAAAATTCGTGTGAGCGAACTCCCCGGTATGTAGCAGCAGTCTTTGCCCAATTCTTTGACAATGGCACAGCAGAGGGTCCCCTATGGTCCCATCGTTTCAAAAGCGATAGATACGCGAAAATGTAACGGCCGACCAGGTAGGAATACAATCTCGATTTCTTCTCTTCGGCTTGTATCGCTGCCGCTCCCGCACATGTGGAGGTGGCTTTGAGATGGGAAACCGCCACCGTGTCTACACATGTCACGTCCCAAGCAAGACACATGCCGCGCTTCCAGGCGAAAGTTGTGCAGCCGTCGGGACGACGAGCCGACGTGTGGGATGTTCCCCGAGGTTCCAGTTTGGCAGGCACACCAGCTGACACCAGCCCACGGCAAACGATGTTGTTCGAGCCACCGTGACGTGGATGTCTACCCGCAGAGAAGGTGCATGACAGCCCGTGATGTCCGTAGCCATCCACAGGTCTATGGCAGTTATGGCACTGGTGTGGCTCACAGATTTTAGCGCCCAAGCGAAGCCCGACGCTGATCTTTAGGGTGTCGTCGTCGAGCAAGTTTCCGATGTGGGCCGACGGCAGCGCGTTCAACCAGATGCCGGCCTCAGGTTTGGACTGAGCGAGTAGGCGGGCTTTGTTGACATCATCGTTCTGAAAGACGTTTAACAAAGCGGCTAATGAGACATTACAAAGAGTGTAAATCCCATGCTTTCTGCGACTTTTCGGAAAGCAGATTCGGGAATTTCTGCTTGAGCGGCCTTTACTTCCATAAATCTTGGGCTTCGGTACTAACAAGTGCCTGTGTGTAGGAAGCAGCGCTGACACCAAGCCGGAAACAGAGTGAATCGAAGCCAAATAGGCTGGGAGAGATAATTCCTCCGATCGGCGGATGCCAATGCCTCCTCTACTGACGGGCAACGATGCTTGGCGCCAACACGGGTAGTCATCGTGGTTCGCATGATAGCTTCATATTCAGAGAAAACGCGGCAACTCATTAAACTCATTCAGCAATGCGAAGCATGGTAATGAATGAATAACCTGGCAGGCATGCCACGCCTGGCATAAACTGCCCGTGGCCTCTGCTTGGTGAATCTGTTGTATCTGCTTTCAGGCTGAAGAACACCGTAAGCCTGTGTTTTAGCTATTTGTTTACACCGAGTTTGTGTTCACTTTCCACCATGAGCCTTGATATTTAGCGTATTTCTTGTCAGAGAGCGATTTTAGCAACGATTCGGAGAAAAATGAAACCGGATGCAACCGGTGCGGAAGAAGGGGACTGGAATTTGGAACCATCCTCGACGCCACATGGCCCACATCTCCATTAAGCAACAGTAAAGTACTGTACTGACACCCTGCACTTGGAGAAATTTTGTAAAGTATGAGCAGCACGGTACTGTAGACAGGTGGATTTAAAGCCGATTGCGTTCAGCCAATAGCCAGCAGTCTGCATGCAGTTGCAAGCCGTGTATGTGAGCAGTGAACGCAGTCGTACAACGTACGCGTGGCTGCACAGCTAAAACTTTCTCCGAGTGCAGGGTGTCAGTACAGTAATATAGGCCCAGCAAGTGTCGCAAGCAGATGCGGTTAAGAGACTTTAAAGGATGCGCAGAGTCAAAACGCGGACTTACATCGAGCATCAGCGACTTACATCGAAGCGAGAAATAGGCGTACCAAGTTCCAATTGGCTGGGCTTCGTTGTAAGTCGCTTTTCGCTCGATGTCTGTCGGTGGGCGTCGACGAAAACCGTTACGAAGATGGGCGTACCTTGTAACGGGTCTAAGCGACGCCCAGTTACTTACAAACTTCGCGTTTCCGATTCTGATTGGTGGGTCAGCATTCTAGGTTAGATCGAGGCTGCCCACTGCCAATAGCAAATTCAAAACCACGTGATCGTTTCTCTATACTCTGAGCTTACGGCGACGGTTAAACGATAAAAACATAGGGTTTTATATCTTTTTTTGAGTTTTCGGTTCTTGCCTTGTTTGTTTTTGAAATTTGAAGTGTAAAAACTGATAATCTTTTTGGCATTACTGGTGTATCAATAGTGCAGGGATGCTGCATTCTGGGAATCCAGATTAGACTGCGCAAAATTAGTGCCTGGCCAAGTGTGCCCCCGTTTACTGATCGCTTGTTGCCTGATTACTGCTTAGAATACTTTTGATCTCATTGACTAGCGTATTACAAATTGATTCCGACTTGCCAAAAGGTTCACAGATCCTTGTGGCTGTCTTTAACAATTTGTGGTATACTCGTCATGTATTACTGCCGTCGTATCGCAGGGAACCCTGCGCGCTGGCTACCCAGCTGCTGGTGCTGTTAACAGTACACCCAGGTCTGTGTTTAATTTTTAATCTGATTTATTGCCCCACTACGATTAATACTGCTGGACAGCCTCTTATGGTAAGTCAGAAATTGATTAATTTGTTGGTCGCATACACTTATTTCCAATTTTTCGTCTGTATTTTATGAAAAAAATTGTATACTTGCCTAACCATGTGGCGGGTTCCCGCTTTGATCTGGCTACCCAGAAGAATTATTAAATATTAACCGCAGCCTTTTTATTTATCTTTCTAAAAACAATAATGCATAGCAATTCCCAAGCGCAGCTTGTTTTGATGCTTTTTAACAGGTTATATGGCATTTAAGTTGTTGTAATATTCAGAAAAGTTGTAATACAATGTAGAATGTCTGCACGCATACTGTCAGTCTGTATGTCATGGCAGTTGTGCGCATGCGGTCGAGTTTAGCCCGTACATACTTACATGCAAGACGTATAAACGGGCGCGGTTTTGCGTTCGATGTCTGTATGTCAAGGGTAAAAAACGTTGTAAGTAAGTCCGCGTTTTGACTCTGCGCATCCTTTCTACTATGCAGCAAATCGTCGTTACAGGCGGACAAAGATTACATGGAAGATGCAACGTTCCTGTAATTAGTGTAATGACGTAAGCACAGAAAACCACTATTGATCAAACACAGAAAAAGCTGGTTACTGATATAGGCGTTTTGCGTTGTGGTCAGGTGCGTATTTTACGGCCACAAACTCAGAAGCAAGTATGTTTTAGTCGGCAAAGTATCCATCCAGCATATGAAGCGCCAGTCTGCTCAGCACCGCAACATTTATTTTCCGCAGATCAGCATCATCCCATCGCTGTGCCGTGCCATCGGCGGAACAACCGCTGAACCTGACGATGTAACCAAAACCCTTACAAACCAAGTTCATAGCGTTTCCGTTCACTTTACTTACACCTGAAGAAACTGTCGAATTCCGGTCCATTGTTCGGGGTAAGCTAGCGTCCGCACCCAGCGCACATGCACCCCCGTGACCTTCTTGTACACCCCCTGATTAACCTCTGGACAGTGGTCATTGACCGCGGACATGAAGCGGCGACAGTGTTCGCCCGGGGTCTCGGTGCAGCGGAAGCGCAGGAACGGAATAACCACTTTCACGTACACCGGTTCGACGGGTTCGCTGGCCGGCTGCTCCACATTTTGATCGCCGGCACAGCAGAAGAACAGGAGAGTTGTATGCCGCGTTCTTTGACTTTGGTCGTTCGCCCGTGGTTTAACTTCGTGGCCGTCAGTCAGCCATGTTTGGTCGCCGTTCCCATGGCAGATCATCTCCACCATCAGCGGATGGTAGATGGACGGCAGCGTCACCGTGTAGTTCAACAAAATCAGTTGGTCGCAAACGGACATGAAAAACGACAGGTCCTCGCAGGTATTTTCCCCGGTGTCGTTGTTGCGGCGAATCTTCAGGAACATAAACCATGCCTTTCGCGCGATATCTTCGCCGTTCTTGATAATGAGCAGCGGCAGGCGGACGCCCCGCAGTTGCAAAATCCGCACGCAATGTCGCACTGCTTTCCGAAAATTGTCCCGGTTCATGAAGTCAAGCTGATCTGTTGCCGCGCCGACGTTAACGAAGGCCAGGCCGTGCGTATGCTGGGAGACAGCACCATTCAGGGTGGTAAGCAACTTTTCCCTGCGATTGCAATATGGGAGAGTCACTTCTTCCCAGTACGGGCGCTTTCGGCAGGTGTGGGGAAGGTCGAGGATGACGTCGCGGCTGGCAGCGTCGGCCTGCAAAATACTTTGCCACAGCACACATACCCTGTTAAAGACAGAAGCAATGAAGCTGAGGCACCTGTTAAAGATATAAAAGGCAGCAAAAAAAGGTAGATTAGGTAGTGTAGGTGAGCCGCAACAAACACCAGCGGCAAATTTGTTATTTTGCGCAACAACTCTAGACGTCTGCAGTTTGCCTTACAAGCGCATCCGCGAGCGCGTAAAGGTGTCCAGATTCAACAGAATATGCGTTAGTATAAAAGGGGGAAGAGCACCGATATCCATTTCTAAGGCATCTGCAACGTACCATTTTCCGGTTATGTGAATGCGTGTATCACATATGTCTACTCTTGTGTATCACTGCGCTAGGCGTTATGTCTGCAAACCTTGCAAAACAAACTAAACAAACGATACTGGTAGCAGTATGCTTTCATTTTAAAGTTTCGAAGGTGTTATGTTACAACTGCTGACCCATCGTGTACTGACCAAGTTCAGACGTTGCAATTCGATAATTTTCGGTATTTAGTTTGTCGTCCATTGTTTGCTGCAATATGATGCTGCCTCTGCACGCATCCTTCAGCCCCTCTACATCCCAGACCATGCTGGACCCGTCCGCGTCACCGTGCAGTTCGGCGCAGACAAAGCTGACCGTATCGCTTCCCACTCGCGCAAACATCCGACAGCGTCCAAAATCAATCGGGGATGCACCGTCGGCATCCAGATGCATTCGTGTACATTTGATGCTGATGTTATCCAAATCAGTGACGTGCCGCTGAAACTGGCAACCGGTCTCCACTGGATGGTGCGCGCGATCCCCGCTGCTCAGCGTAAAGCAGCAGGTAAACCCCAG